CTGACAGAGAGGTTTAACACATAACAGCAAAGTAGTTTGGTTCTATGGAGTAATCTTGCTCTCTGTTGCTGTCAGCTCTCTAATGCCAATCTGTCGGTGTACTTGATTTTTGTTTCTGCTACCACTCTAATTGCTTGTGTTCCCCATTGTGGTCTTTGTTTCATTGTTCCATTAATTCAGTGTGATGCATGTGTTGTTTTAGATGTACTGAATGTGTTGCTTCTTTTAAATATTACAATTACTAATTAGTAATTCTGCGTATTGTTTCCCTCTGTAGCACATATTGTCTTTAAACATTAACATGCATCTTATTAATGTTCTGCATGCTTAAATGACATTTTTTTTAAATAATGATTATATTTTTAACCTTCATTGTTTTCTAATTTTAGTACCTACATTATTTAGAAAGTATCCAGGTATGGAAGCAAAAAAGACTGTAACAATTGGTCAATCATAGAAGCAACTGAAAGCTTTGTGCAATTTAAACACTATTGATTACTTAATGTTGACATAGAAATAACACTGAACTTGTACAGTTTAAATCATTTGTAGCTTATCTGAATTTCTGCTTGCTCAGGCAGCACATATGATATGAATTTCCCTTGTTGAAATTTCCAGAAGGTCATTTCATTATTTTCTGACGTTCTATTGACCAAATGACTCCAAGATCATCAGTTAATTGAGAAGATAATCAGCAGATTATTCACTAATGGAAATAATTATAATTAGTTGCAGCCTTAAATTGCTCGAAATTGAAACAACATAAGTTTACATAGAAGTAAAATATTTAAATGCTATGAATTCATTGTCATTCTATTGTTATTATGCATTCAGTAGTGATTAAAGTTCATATTGAAGTGTTAAGTTGCTTTTAAGATTCAAATATTTATGCCTTTTGTTGCTATATATAAGATTCCTTATAACTCTGGTATATTAACAGTTATGTCTATGACTGTGCCTGTAAATAAATTAAATTATTAAATCCCAGCCTGAGCAGTACCTGGAGACAGAAAATGAAAAGATGTTTCTTGTGGGATGCTGCCCAACCTTTTCTCATCTCCCATCTGGACTACTGCAATTCCCAACAGGCCAGGCTCGTAAAGTATACCGTTCAGCAGCCACAAACCATCCAGAACGCTGCAGCCTGCCCTGTCTTCAACCTCCCCAAGTTCCCCTTTGTCGCCTTCCCACATGTACCCCTCTCTCCTTCCCCACAGGCGGCCGGTGGCAGTTCACATCAAATTTTAAATTCTGGTCCTGGCATTCAAGGCTCCTCGGGGAGTCGCACGCGCAAATCTGCAGGCTATGTTCTATCGGTACCCGCCAGCCTGTGCTCTGCTTCAACCAGCCATTTAGCTCTCCACTCCCTGCGGCAGCTACGTCATCGCTTCACCTGGCCTTGACTCCTCTTTCTACTGCTCCCCAATAGTGAAATGTCCTTCCCACTCCAGGCGGGACAGCAGAATTACTCCACATCTCCTATTGTGAAAAATGCCTCTTTCCCCCTGAATATCCGCATTCCCCATGTCCTCACTATGCACCTGCTATTTAAAAAACATCCCTTGTGTTTGTTTGCTTAGAGTTTTCTATTCATAATTTTAGCATGTCTTTATCTGACATGATCACTTCAGGATCTCAGGAGTATTTTGTTATCAGTGCACTACGTCGATTGTGATAACAGTATCAGCTAATGGAATGGAAATGTTTCACAAATTGACTTCGCTGTGCTACTTCATCAAATGTGATTATTTTGTATTTATATATACAGTTTCTTCTTTCCACCTCACCACACACCACCTCACTGCATATATATCACTTTCGCTACTGCAACAATAGCAGTGGGCTGAATGGCTTCAATCGTCCTTTGTTACCAAAGATTTTGGTTCAAAGCGATTTAAATTCATATAACAATAAAACTTAATTCGTATAAAACGTTGATTTAATGCCACAAAAGATTAATTTAGGCATTTCTTTTATAGTTGCTTTACTTTTTTTGTCAGATCATAAATGCTTTAAGATTTTAGATTGTGTTTCTACATGTATGACATATGCTTTAGAAATCAGCCCAGCAGAAATCTTTAGAGCCTTTTTTTCAAGAGCCACGTCAAACAATACTGTGGACTTTTCCCTTTGAAAATAACTTTAAAGGCATTTTTATAGTGGCTAAAATATGTTGCAGGCCTTCTCGAGTGTGTAAACAATGCCGAGATATTGCTCAAATAGTCAGTGAAAGTAAAACTTTCTCAAAGAGATTTCCCCTGAATTCTTTGACATCTTGGGTTTGGCTCCAATTATCTGCTATATATGGACACTTCAATAAGAGCCTCCCCATGACAAGAGAAGACAGCTTTGTTTCTCCCTGCTAATTTCTGCAATTTAGCTCACATCTGAGCTCATCTGTATACAGCACGTTCAGAGTACATAAATATTAATCATAATTGCTGCAGCTTTATTTGTCTCTGGCTCAGTACTGTATCTGTATTGCGCTTCTTGATTGATCACTTGGCCACACAGTCCAAAAAATCTAAATGTATTCATTATATTCTACCTGTGACTGTCAGCATTATTGTCATAATTTCAATGAATGTCAAAATTTCAATCAGACAATAGAAAGAAGTTTAATTCTTCAGGATAGCAAATAGGATGAGATAGGAGAGGAGAGTCACTGCTAGCCACAGGGGAAGTGCAACCAACAGAATCCACCATATTAAAAGCTTTTGTGTCAGATGGACTGGAGAAGACAGACAGGAGATGCAGCACAACAACGGCTGAGTTTCTGATCCATGTAGTCATGACAACGCAACACTGTAAGCATGGACAATTAGAAAACTGAATCACGGCGCTTGGAGAGTTTAACTTGTGACCTGATTCCTCAACCTTTGTCCAAAGCGATCGCTGAGAAAGTCTTGAGTAGTCATGGGCCAAGATGACTAGTCTCTCCTTTTACGTTACATTTGCTCTTTGTGTGTCCAACCATCCATGTGTCCATACATGCGTTCATATATCCAACCATCCATAAGGTCTACATTTACTCAGTCACTACTTAAATTTTATTTGTGCGTGTTTGTTGTTACAAAATTGTGACATCAAACAGATGTGTGTTTTTTGTGCGTATCTCTGGGAGTCAGTTGTGTCACTGTATGTGTGTGTGCGTCTAAGTGTGTGTGTGCGTGTGTGTGTGTGAGTGTGTGTGTGTGTGTTTGCATAGTGACATAAGGACACGGAGAGGGCTCAGCTGGGAAAAGCTAATGTATACAGTATGTGTGCATTAGAACACCTGGGGCACATACTGTACATATGCAGACTCACACATACATGCACACACACGCACACACACATACATACCCACACGCACACACACATTATGCAATGCCACAGATACAGTTGACTGCTGTTAAAAGATCTTTTAATCCTTTCATGGTTCGGCTCTTTGACAGTCGTTCTCTGTGTATGAATCCCTCAGTTCTTTATGAACTTTCTCTTGAATCAAGTCAGCTGAAATGGCAAGTGAAAAGGTCACAGAGTTACTGTTCCGATTCATATGTGCTACATCGGAGATGGCTGACATGGAAACGGAAGGTTTTCACGGAAATGCTGGTAAAGTTTAATAGATTATGAGAATCATTTGATCCAACATTTCAGTTTAGTTCCCTTTTCCAAAGTCCTCAGGGATGGCAGTCAGAAAAGTTTACTTAGACATCCGTTTCCATTCAGTGCATCCTGTCTGTGTGGCTGCAGCACTGTATGTGTGTAGGTATGCTGCGAGTTTTGGAGAGGTACCTCCTTACGGACAGAATCAGAAAAAGACAGATGAGGGAGGGAGAAAAGGACAGCGTAAAGGAATGAGGAGAGAGACGAGGGGAAGAACAGCTGATATTTTAATCATGTGGGTTGGTTGTTCTGCAGAGCCCAGCTCTATTTAAAGCCCGGCAGCATCTGCTCAGTACCCCTGTGTTTTCAGGCACTAAGGGAAACACACACACACACACACACACACCATACAAGCGCTCTCTGCCCTTCAGCTGTATTTATGGTTACTCTGCACTGTCATAATTCTCGTTTTACAGTTTGATGGAACCACCAGATGTGTAGCGAGCAGGCAGCAAGAGTACAGTCGCACTCACACTTCAGACACTAAACATGTCCCAATGTACAAAATATGACCTATTTGTGTTTGTGCATATGTGTGTGTGTGTCTGTATGTTGCAGTAACAGCACATCAGGAGGTTCCTACATTAAGCAGTGCTGCAAGGGTTTCTGCATCGACATTCTGAAGAAGATAGCAAGGAACGTTAAGTTCACTTATGACCTTTACCTGGTCACAAATGGGAAACATGGCAAGAAGATCAACAATGTGTGGAACGGCATGGTTGGAGAGGTACTGTCTACCTATTTGTACCATATCAGTCTGTCTCTCTGACTTTCTATGTGATTATTGGGAAACACAATTCTTTCTTGCAGAGTTGGATCCATACTACTCTCATGTTTGTACAGTAAATAATAAGCTGTCACCAGCAGCCAGAAGAAGGCAGGAAACAGGGGTAAACAGCTAGCCTGGCTCCATCCAACTGCACAAAAATCCACCCACCAGCACCTCTATATCTCAATAATAACACATTATGTCTAAGCTAACCGGATGCAGGCTGTAGCTTCATATTTAACGGACAGATATGAGAGCAGTATTGATCCTCTTAAGCCTGGTCCACACAGCACACGTGAGAGGTGAGTGTGTGTCGCAGAACGTCTAGCTTTTCATTTCGATGTTAGCAGGTTAGAGCGGCCACACTGCCCACTCCTCTCAGCCACAGCTGCAGGGACGCTTCACTAGAATGTTCAGTTTTTCCAGCAAGCAGTTCCCAGTAAAAAAAATAGACAGTGAAAAGGATGTGTACCAGCAACATACACACCCCTCTCTACCGTTTCAGTGTTTATATCTGTAGAATATTGTATTGTACTTATCAAAGGCAAACTGATAGCAGCAGCAGAAACGCCCTCTGTGTGGACACCACAGGCATGCGAGCCGCAGCAGATCAGCGAAGCAGCCGTCATGCACTGCTCACTCATGCTGTGTGGATAGTGGGTTATCCAAGTCTCCGCAAGAAAGAAAATAACTGTACAGTATTTGTCAAAATGTCAACTATTCCTTTACATGACTAATAATTCAAAAAGCCACATAGATAGATAAATCATTCAGTTGCATAATGCCACTCGTCTTTATTTCAGACTGTATTGCTTGTTCCTTCCTACAGTTGGACTGAATATGTGGATTATTATTAAATGTAATGATTAAAGGATTTGGCTGAGTTGTTCTATAATTTTTTATTTTCAAATATCATAAAAATCCCTACCCTGCGTTTGGCACTTAGCCCCAAGTCCATTTGTTCAAGCTAGAAAGTGAATCACTGATGTGTTTTTAATAGTTTTTAGACAACAATGGAGGTTTGTGGCACAGAGGAATAAGCTATATCCGGCATAAGATACCGAGACAATACTAGCAGACAATACTATGATCAATTCATTGTGGGTTTTGGTCTTGTCAGGGGATTTGTTGACTTTAAGAAAAATGTGATATATTGCCAGACTAATCCTTTAAAGAGGCAATCTGTGACCCAATTGTAAACAAAGATTTCACCCCACCACCAAACCCTAAAACACAGGACTGAAAGCTGCCATAACTTTTATATTAATTAACAGATCTTTTAATGCACATTGTGACACTAGAGAACAATATAAAATGTTCTATGATGTTGTAAAGAGTTTGTTTATATCCTTAATGTTGTTTCTAGGAGTGGAAAAGGTTTATGTTTTCAAATACAATCATTTGTTAGGCACCACAAAAAGCTCATTTGTCATCATTAAGTCACAATCTTTAATTATATATGTGTAATTTATATAGTCAATAATATTTCCTATTCAGGATTACAGATTACGGAGCTTTTGAACAGGAGCAGGATACCTCGAGGCTTACTTGATCGCTATCATTTATCTTTTCTGGAAATGACTTATTCAGTCAGGTTAAATTAAAGCTAAGCGCTGCCACAGTAAAATCCTTAAAGGTTGAAAGTGAAACTTAAACGTCTGATAATGAAACCTGACAATATGGATATGGATTGTGGCAACGTTTATGGGAACAGACCGCTAGAAGCCTTTAGACAATTAAATCTGAACAAACATTTTACTACATACTAAAAATGACATCTGTATAAGCAGAATCTCCAAATGTCAGAATGAATTCACACACCCAAAAATGGTGGCACTATGAAAAAGACAGCTGTATTTTTATTTTTCATCTGATATGGCTGACAATGCCCTCCAACTATAGATGACATTCTGTGCTTATACCCTCAGTCACTGTGATATTTCACATCCAGAATAAAAAGGAGGAACATATCAAAGAGGAATTGTCTGATGTTGTCCAAATATTTACGGACCTCACTGTATTTATTTCTGTCAGTGTGGGTAGTGAGTCATGCACTCACTGTAACCATTGTTCTCTCTGTCTACCAGGTGGTGTATAAGAAGGCAGTGATGGCTGTCGGTTCATTGACCATCAATGAGGAGAGGTCAGAGGTCATAGACTTCTCCGTGCCCTTTGTGGAGACTGGCATCAGTGTCATGGTGTCACGTAGCAATGGGACCGTCTCTCCTTCTGCCTTCCTCGGTACATCCGTCTTTCTTTCTGTCTTCCTTAACCATAAATTTCCTCTTTTTTTTCTCTCCTTTCTTCTTTTTCTTCGTCTGTCCCCCAGTGAACCGACTACTGGGAGCCGAAAAAGGGGAGGTGCTTACATGTTGGCAAAACCCTGAACATAAAATGGAATATTTTATTCAGGCAGTGTATGCTGGCCAAATTTCTACTTGTACCCTGACTTTATTTGGGCCTCAACACCCTAAGCACATTAATATTTTCTAGCAGAGCGGAGTAAGTGGAGTGTGCCAGCTGTTTTATGAAAAGTCGGCTCAGACAAAGCATTCTCGATACTCTTCTCTCCTCTCCTCCTCCTCTTGGCTCCAGTTGTTCAGATGACTAGAAACTGAAGCGCTCCTCCGTGCTCGCCTAATGTCTTGTATTGTCATTGGAGCGAGACAGGGAGCGAGGGGATGTATTGGACCATGCGTGTGTTGGTCCCTGTGTAGCAAGCCATGTGTCAGTATGCGTGTGTGTGAGTAAAAAAAAA